CTACTGCTGCTACTACGACTGCTGCTGCTGCTACTATTAGTTTTACAACAACAACAACTACTACTACTACTACTACTACTACTACCCCTGCTACAACTGCGACTGCGACTACTGTTACTACTGCTGCTGCTGCTACTACTACGACGACGACGACTACTACTGCTACTATTGCTACCACTTTCACTTTCGCTTTCCATCGCAGCGTCGTCCGATGACGCTTTGCGTCCCTAAAGACCAAGCACTTGGCTCGGCTGCTCCACGCCCACTTCGGCGATAGCAGCTATGCACAATGGGCACAGTCAAAAGCTTGAGATTTGAAGTTTCCCCGTGCCGTAGCACCAAGCGAGAAACTCAGGAACCTGTTCGAGCATGCTTCAATGTTGAAGAATACATCACAATAGTGAATGAAAGAATAAAAATGATTGTCGAAGGTCCAAGGTCAGATAGCTTTTAAAGCATCAGAGTTTCATCAGACCAACGATGTAGCAACCCTCCTGAAGCTCACGAGGTACATCAGCAGCTTTACTGATAGGCTTATCATCATCACATACATAGAAAGCATGCTGTCGCCGACGACCGCGCACTGAACCACTCAGTGCTGCTTTGTACTGTCCAGCCTTGAGATCTGCACCAATGTGATAAATGACACCCAGTACACGATATTGTTGTATATATGTTGAGGTGTCGGCCGCATTGGAAAAGCAGTGCATCCGGACGATTTCGTCAGCCTGAATCGCGAGCCCAGAGCTGTTCTTGGTGCACAAGCCCGTGTCAGCATCGTTACTAAACCTTTTAAGATGCAGCAGCAAAAGTTCGGGAGGATCACTGAGAGCATGAACATAAGTTTGAGTGTGCCAGCTGTAAGCACAATGCTGAAGTGAGGCTCCGGCCAAAGCAAATTGCAATGGGGTAGCCAGCGTACCTGAGTCCATGACTGCAACCCGAGGGTGAGGTACGTCAGAAAGAAGGCGAGACTCCCAGCGCCCTTGATAGGCTTCTGGCAGTGAAGATCTGAAAAGATGGGCCACAAATTCAGCAGCATCCTGCTGTGAGTGCAAATTCGGCAAGTGCTGCAACAAAGCTGTCCATGGAATATGCGAAGGAACATAGGCCTTGCCTGATGTGCTGAGGCAGAGCATTGCTTGCCGTAGAGGGCCAAAGGCTCGATCAGTTCCAAGCACCTGTCGCATCCAAAATAGCAAATTGCAAGTAGCATTGATGTAGCACAGATTGCTGCGATTAGCCAATCGAAGGCCAAGCGGAACACCCAGCCTGAGCGACGATTCTGCCCTCGTCGGCCTCGTCCTTTGCCCTTGCCCTTCTGCTGAGGGGGGATTTTTTCTGCAAGAACCTTCGCAGGCCGCAGAGGTTCGTCATCATTCCCCAGGCCTGGGATGCCATTGGGTCCCGGAGCCCCACCCCCACCAGGAAGGTGATGGAATCGCCCTCCAGGCTCTCGGTAAGTTTCCGAGTCGCATGAAACTGCACCAGGGCATTGGATTGGGTGCCTGAATCGTGGCCTCCAACTGAATCAGCGTCTCCACGACCTGCAACTGCAGCATGGGCTCGGCGTCGGAGATGGTCTCCAGTTTCTCCAGGGTGGAGTTCCACTTCTGGTACCCCCACTTGAGTTCTGGAACCCCTTCCTCCAAGGTGGCCAATCCTCTCTCCACCATGAGGTCTCGAAGGTTCTGGTCTGCCTCCAGTGCTCGGAGCCGGATCTTCCAGTGCTCGAGGAGCCCCATGAAGAGCATCAGCCTCAACGGACTGGTGACTTCCTCCTTCTCCTTCTTCTCGTGCCAAATGACCGCCAGCTCGTACAGGCGATTCAGCACCGAGCCCTGCTTGGTCTCGAATGTCAGGACGAAGACCCTTTCCGTCCTCATCTGGCTGAGCTCGTCCTCGTGGCGAAGGGCCACCCTGGCTAGAAGTCGCATCTTCTCCTCGAGGCGGTTGTTCTCCGTCGCGCTGGTGCTGGACCATTCCTTGCTGGAGCGCCAGCCACCCCACCTTGATCCTTCTGCTGAGCAGGACGTGCAGGCTGCTGATCTGGCGGGTCCTGCGAGCTCTGAGAGCCTTGGGGGTTGCCTCCGTCCCCTGGGACTCCATCGAGTTGCTGGTGGGGCCCTTGCCCATGCCCTGACCTTTGGAGGAGGGGAGGGCCTCGGATATTTCGAGAGGCTGGAGGCTGGAGTCCTCCCCCGCCCCTCTCTTCGGGGCCCCACTGATGTTTGGAGCTCGCAGAAAAACGTGATCCACAAGCTTCACAAGGGCTGAATTTCACAATGCTGGTGGTACGACACATTGAGCCAACATCTTTTTGTCGACTGTAGACTTCAGGGTGATGAGCCTTGAGATGATTCTCCAAAGAGCCGCTGCGATCTGAAAGCCATCTGTCACAAAAGACACAGTGATGCTTGAGTCGTGGAAGAACCCCTGGCAACCTGAAAGCTAGATACCAGTTGGGTGCTTGTATGGCTTCTTGCAAATCGCGACGACGGCGTAGGGGCTGAGTGTGCTCAGCCGGAAGCGTCTGTTGGGGCCCCGCAGCGGACTGCAAAGCAGACCCCAATAAATCTCCGGTGGGTCGCTCACCCTCTGCTAAAGAAGGGCTTGCGAGGGCTTCAGGCTTATCTACATTTCCCGGTGTCAACTCCACAAGGCGAAGGCGTTCTGAGCTGACTGCTTCACAAACATGTTGCAGATGATAACGAAACTCTTGCCAACCACTGAACGATCTCGAGCAGTATTTGCAAATCGGCACCCCATCCTTGCTATGCAGAGCTAGGGCTGCACCGGTGAATGCAATGCTCGCTGACGAAGAACGCAAGGAGAATCCGTACTTGCGAGCATGATGAATGCGCATGATATGCTGTGACGAAAAATGTACACCACAAGTGGGACAGGCATACGAGCGAATTGAAGAGGGGAGCTCAATAAGTTTGCTTCCCGCCGAGCAACCAGTGGCACGAAGGTGTGGTTCCAGTACATCAGGGCTCACCTGAATGCCTAGTTTACTGTAGTAGGCCTGCAAGCGCTGACCTAGAGAGCGAAATTGCAGTCGCTGCAAGAGATCCTGCGTGGGCTCCCGAGTGATGTGCGCTGGAGATTTGGCAATAGCTCTTATATATTTGATGTCCCGACGATGAAGAAGAGCAATGGCTTTGTCCGGAAGTTTGAAGTTAGACACTCCATACAGCAACGTAGAGCGTATGCACACCTGATAGATCTGGAGGCGCTGTTGTAGGGTGAGGTAGCGAGAGCTGTGCAGGATCTTGGCCAGGCGCTGCCGTGAAAGGCCAGCCGTCTGGAGCCTGTGTCTGACCGAGGCTTGAAATTAATGATATGAAACAATGATGCCCAAATACTTCACCTGCTTGACAAGAGGAACCTCAACAGAAGCAAGACCATGGCTTAAACAGACCACCCGCTTGCCATCAGCAAGACGAACTCGTTCTTTCAACCATTTGGGGCCGTGGGTGCCGCCAAGCCTTATGATGAAGGCTGACTTTGTCTCATTGATTATCATCCCATGCTGACGATAGACTTGAAAGACCACATTGAGGCTCTGCTGCATGAAGCGAAGATCACTCTGCGAATTGAGCTGCCAAGCACAATGAGTGTCATCTGCGAAAAGAGTCATTCCTTGCCGAACCCATGTGGTGTCACCTAGCTGTTGTTCAATACTGCTGAGCAGATAGACACTGAAGAGAGCCCAAAGAAGGGGCGCTAAAGTGCACCCTTGCCTTACTCCGTTCTTCATATCAATAAGGGTGCTGTAGCCTTCATGTTCAACACGATATCTGCATGCCAAATGAACATCAAGTATGAGTGATGCAAGGCTATCGTCAACCTCTGCCCAGGCCAAACTGTCCGCCAGGGATTGCCGAGGAAGCTTGTCGAAGGCAGTTGTCATGTCTAAAGCTAGCTGGGCTCCTCCGGTGAATCGAGCACGGCGGCTCCCCTGTCGGCGCCGGTGGAGTGTAAAGCGATCTGCTCTCAGATGGGATCGTATGGTTGTGCAGTGTGCCGTCACTCGTGAATGGCATCAGCCGTCGAACGACTTTGTAAATAGGCAAATTGTGGGTACTGCTCCAGCCGGGCCCTGATTTGCTCATACAGCCTGGTTTTGATAGTTCTGGCTACCGCCTTTCCTTTAGCATCCTGTATGCCTAGCGGGCGCAAAGATTCAGGTCTTTTAATAGTCTTAGCCGGTTTGGGGATTAAGGCTAATGAGCAATCAGCCCACCAGCTTGGAAAACCAGCTGCTGTCTCAGTGTGAACTGCTTCCAGAAGAGGCCCACTCAAGACCTGGCGACAATGTTTCCAGGCTGATGAAGGGGCATGTCCACGAGGAACAGCCCGACCTGTGCCTAGTTGCTGAAGAGAAGATTCGATCTCCTCCTGCTCAAAAATCACCGGTTGTAACCTGTCTGTCGGGATTATGTCCGATTGGTCTGTGCCGAAAAGCCGATGGAAGTAGCTTGAGATCTCAGCATGTTCAGCTAATGGCTCCAGTAGTTCTCCGTCCACGGTGCGGATGCGCGCTTTGCCTCGCTGTTGCTTAGCCGAGATTTGCTTAATGATCTGATAAAGAGCTCGGATGTCCTTGCGGTCAGCTGCTTGAGAGGCCTGCTGCAATTTGTTGATCAGAAGCTGCTTTCGTTGTTGCTTGCCCTGCCTGCGAAGTTCTCGATAGCTGCGCTGAAAAAGAGCCCAGGCTCGAAAAGCATAAAGAACATGCCTGACAGAATATAAGCAAAGTCTGACTTCGTGACCCACTCGTCTCAGTGCCTGCCGCTGGCGCCACATAGCCCGAACAGCAAGCTGAACAGGTTCTTGCTGCCAAGGTCGGCGCTCTTTGGGCCTGGGTCGTTTGGGGTAGACCGCCACACACTCCTGTAGCAGAAGCTGATTGAGGCTCTCGGCCGTGAAGCTCTGAAGTTGACCAACGGCTTGCTGTACCCTGTCAAGCAGAATGTATGCTCTCTGATCTTTCGTGTGCAGTGAATCCTCTAGGGCAACCTTGTCATACGCATCCATGCTCGGTTTTCGAATCCGAGTCGCAAGCCACCCCGGCTTCAGCGGTGTGGATGCCTGCGCCGGTGCATGTCGAGCCCCTAGCCGCCAAGGAGAAAAGTCCAAGGAGGGCACCGGTCTTGCTTGTTTGGCAATGGAATCTGCTTGAGAGCACCTTGTCAGTATATAGTCTATCTGGCTGGAGTGTACACCATTGAGAAAGGTCTGCATTGAAGAACCACGGCACCTCGTCCACGTGTTCAGAAAGCATAGGCCGTGTGCCTGCGCCAGAGACATGAGCTCGTCCTGATCAAAATAATAATCTGAAGCTGGCGGTGAGCTAGAGCCTGCAAGTCCTGCCTGTGCCACTGCCGAGCAGCTGAAATCCCCTCCAAGGAGGAGGATGTTGCGTCTCGGCATGGAACTCAAGCACCTGCCCAAGGCTGTCCATATGAAATCACGCTTGGACGATGTAGAGCTTTGAGATTCTCTGCTGCTGATCACGTGCTGGTAACAAGATAAGAGATCAATGCCAAAGTGCTTGCCACTGACCCTCACATGAAGAAGTCTGCCAGGCACGACTTCAGCGAACCGAATGATGCTGTCCTTCACCAATGCTTTTCGTACTGCTATAGCAACCCCAGCAAATCTTGACCCCGGGTCAGGAGAACTGACTACGTTCCATCCCGCGGCCTCCCACTCAGAGGCCGAGTCACCGAAGCCCCGATGCAGTTCCTGCATCAACAGTACATCGTAAGGTGCCGTGCTCATCCACAAGGCCAAAGAATCATATATAGCAGAAGTCATGCCATCGAAGTTGATGCTCAATGTGCGAATTCTTTTGCTTGAAGGGCTCGTTTTGTGTCGTTCTATAGGATTGCTACGAGAAACATGAAGTTGTTGAAGCTCGGAACAGGTGAAAATCTTACCCCGATATTGAGTGCTACCGTTCTTCATCGCACGGTGGACCGCCCGCCTGTAGGATCGCTTCCTGGCCGTGGGCAGCGAAGCAGCACTGAACGAAGATCGGGATGGCCCACGATGTTTCGCCGAATCTGTCGAGACGGCTCCCAGCAGCTCCGTGCGTGAGTTGCTAACCCTCACATCTCCCGCCGCAAGACCAACATGTAGGTTCGAAAAGAGGAAGACCAGGAAGAGCAACCATATGCTTCCCCGCCACGCCTTCGCGATGGCCCTGCGGCGAGCCTGGGACTTGGGGCCCAGGCGGCTCATAGTTTCCTTCGTGTTTGGCTGCCAAGATCGGTGTGTTGCTGAAAGCTGCCGTTGGTAAAAGATCATTCCCATCACGTCTCCGATCCAGCCTGAAAGTCGTCGCCCAGCTTGTGGCCATAAGCCCCTGACCTGCCGCGATTGAATGACTGAAAGATAAAGCCAGAGCAGGCAGCTGCAGAGACCTGTGAAGCAGGAGGGCAAACATTTTGCAGGCCCCGAAGAGTGCTCTTCAGTCTTTGGATTGCGGGCCGTGGCCAACTCCCTCATGACTGGGCAGGTCGCTGAGACTTCCAAGGGAGGGCCTTGGCGAGGAAAGTCGGCCTGATCTGAAATCTGTGGCAAAAGGGTCCTCGCCATCAGTGTCGATCTCTTCCTCTCCTCCTTCAGCTGCTTCAAGAAAGCTGTCCAAAGGATTATCCGGGGCAGCTGAGGCAGGCGATCGGGTTGAACGCCTCTCAGAACGAAGAATTTCTGGAGCTGCCCGAACTGAGGCCATCCTGGATATGACCGAAGAGTTCCACGAGTCATCAATGGAGAGAGGTGGAAGTTCCAGATCGGCAGCTGTCGGAGGAGGTGGTGGAGGTCCTTTCGGAAGGGGTGGGTGAGGCACAGCTGCTGCTGCTGCTGCCCTGGGCCTGAGACGAGCTCTGCCAGAGTGCATGGAGCGGCGGCGCCGGGGTGTTCTTCGCCTCCGGCGTCGTCTGCGAGATCGCTTCCTTGCGCGCCTCCGGGATCGTGATCGAGCCCTTGAGGCAGAAGTCGAAGCAGCCGGCCGAGCTTCTCCAGCTTCGCTGTCGTCATCGCACACATCGGTCGCTGTGGCTGACCCTGGCCTTGCCCCTGCATGTACATCGAGAGGAGCATGCTCAGAAGAATCAAGGGCAGCATCAGAGCCTGTCGCAGAGGAGGGAAGAGGCGGAGCCCCTGAGCCTGAGGATGAATTCCCCAAGGCCTCCTCCACAGTCGCCGTGTCACCACGAAGCCGATAGCGTATGCAGTGCGGGAGATCGTGTGGAGCGGGCAGTGGCATATCGAAATGGACAACTGCTGTCCAGAGGAAGATTTTTGAGCCACCGAACAATAGCAGATCGCTGTGCCACCAAGACTGACAATGCTTCCAAGGAGGAGCAACATCAAAACCCCTGGAAAGAAACATGCCAGCAAGGCGGGTCCCAGTGTTGAGACAGGCGAACCGTAATCGCCGAGGAGCAGCCTTCTAGCACCCTCGAGTGCCCTTGATGCGGCCGAGCTCAAATCCACGTCAATCCAAGGAGTCAAGAGAATCCAGTCTACTCGCTGCACCAAATTTAGCACGATAGACAGCATCCAACATATGCCACGCAAAAGTTGAATCAATATCGCTGGTTTGCTCAAGAAAGGCCACCTTGCCAGACTGTGGAATCCATGACCAAGCCTCAAACCAGGTCTGAAATGCTGATGCCCTGAGCCACGAGCAGCCATGGAAGTTCTGCCAGGACAGGCGAAGCGACACTGAAAGGTGTCGTAAGCTCTTGCACAAAAACTCCATGGAAAGCTGATAAATCCGCCTTTCAAGAAGATCCTGCCATTTCCACCAACTCACTGAAAGAGGAACCTTGTTGGCGCCATGAAGCTGAGTAAGCTCCATAGCATCTGGGCCGCCCATTGCAGCATGCCAAGGCCTATACCCTGAACGAAGAAGCCCAGGCCCAAATCCGCAAGAAAGACCCAGCAGGAGAAACCGAACCCAACAGCAGCAAGCGGGAGCTCGCCACCGACCAGCTCACGAGCCGAGATGCTTCTATTGCTGCTACTACTACGACGACTACT